GAAACCTGGGATAAATTTTACCGTTGGAGGAATTTGAAAAGGACGGCTGGGATTAAAGACGAATGTTAAGATAGAAATGTATGTTACTTTAGAATAGATAATGTATATAAAATTTAATGTATATGTAGAGATAATGAATTGATTGTAAAATATGGTATAATCTGATAAGAATGTATATACTGGAATGTCACGTCAAATCTAATGTTTTTTTTTAATTGTTTTATAAATAAAATTAAAAAAAAAAAGAATGAATTCAAATAATGAAAAGAAATCCATTTTTAATTATTGTAAAGTGTTACATTATTTTTAATATCATAGTGATTCCTAAGCCTTGAAAATAATTTACAATTATAAGAATTCTCCCCTTTTATTAATTTTCCAAAAAGAGCAAGAAAATCAGACCCTTGACTGTTCTACTTCCTGAATTTTGAATTCAATCAGAAATTGTAGAGTCAAAATTGTAGGAGAAAAAAATTAATCAAAATGAGAAAGTTGGAAAGCCTTTGGCATTGACATCGTTAGGCAAAATATGATGGCTGTTTCAGGAAAGTGATTGTAGTTGGACACAGTTTGTTTGCTTAGCTAAGTTCTTCAAAGTGCGCATCAGAATCAAATGCCATAGATCAGAAAAAAACCAGAAAGGAATTTGGGAATAGGGTATAGGAATGGTATAGGGTTTCCTGCCTGAGCAGGGGGTTGGACTAGATGGCCTCCAAGGTCCCTTCCAACAGCATCATCATCATCATCATTATCATCATCATCATCATCATCATCATCATCATCATCATCATCATCATTATTATTATTATTATTATTATTATTATTATTATTATTATTATTATTATTATTATTATTATTGAGTGACAGTGGGATATAGAGCAATAGCAGCTGATAGATCTTCCTGAACCAGCCTTTCCCCTGCTAAGTCCAGTATGATACTGCAAAATATCACAACAGCTATATAGCATTTATTTAAATACTTCAGAGGCAGGAAAATATACTTGGTATTTGTTGGACCTGGGGCTCAGCTCCCTCATCATCCTGTGTTTTTTTTAATTCTAGCATTCTAAGATATCAATATTTTGCTAACATGTAATACCAAAACTATATATGTTATTCTAAACATATATTCTATATTCATTTCTGAATGTGAATGCAGCTTTGTTGAATCTATTGGCTTAACAATCTCCCTCCTGGTGACTTCTACTTCCCAATTATTTCAGTATTTTCTTCACTAAGTACTATCACTTCTTTCCTTTGGAGGGCAGCATGTAGGAATAATGAGTTTTATAACTTTAATGTCCTCTGAAACTGTTCTTTTAATGTTTAAAGATACAGTGTTTATTCTTCTAGGAAAATCACAGAGGATGAAAAAGAGGGAGATTATGCATCCCAAACATGGAGGATTTTTCATACTCCAATTGCATGATGAACTTCTCTATGAAGTTGGGGAAGACAACATAATTCAGGTATGATTATACAGTTTCCCAGAAATCCTTACAGACTGGTTGTTATCTGTGTGGTTATCAAGTTGATTACAAAGGATACAATAACATTCCAAAGGGAAGTCAGCGACTGTTCAAAATTGTTACTGGACTCCAATCCAGTTCTGTCCTTATGTTTAGGTCTACTGTCTGTGTCTTATAAAGTAATTTTAGACAGAAGTTGCATTCAGAGCTATAGGGAATAAAGGGCAAATTGGCTGATTTTTCAGGCTGCAAAATGCCATTCATGTATGCTTGGGCTGAGTTTCATGAGTATGGTTCTGCTTTTTTTTTAAAAAAAAAAATGACATAAAATGGATTATGATTCTTTGAATCGGTTGTGTAATTACTTTTTCAGATTCTCTGAATCATTGTTCCCGCCCTAATATTAAAGATACTGTGACCCACCTTAAAGATGTATTCAACTTTTATAACTAGTAAAAAAGAAAGTTACATATTTGATTAATCTCATGGTAATCCATGCACTCAGTTATTTTTCTAAGCCTATATTGTTGTTGTTTTCAGGTGGCACAGATTGTTAAGCATGAAATGGAAAATGCTGTAAAACTCTCAGTAAAACTTTCAGTAAGAATCAAAATTGGGCCTAGCTGGGGAGATCTCCAAGACTTGGAATTCTGAATGATGAACAGACATTTCTAACACACAATTGTATTAGGAAATGTATAGACTGGACACTTCTTTTTTTTGCACTGATACATCCCTTAATATTTCAGAAAAAATCTAAACCCCTAAGAAAATAATTCAGATGTCATAGCATAACTAAAACTTACTAAGAAATTGTTTCATGAAATAGTATTAATTCCTGATAATACCTTAGTGATTCCAAAGCCCACATTGAACTGTTAAAATATTGAAGTATTAGAGAAGGATGAATTTAAGATTATTTTTTAAATGCAATGCAGTTAGGAACAGCTAGAAGGATGAGTTGTTGTATTTTACTAGTACAGCTTTTTTATGAAGAATATATATTTAACTTATTTCATATACATAATGAAATATATGAATAATAAAATGGAATTAATCTATTTTGCTATGTGTATAACTTAAATATAAGGAGTATCTGTATCTCAGGTTTCTGTAATAATTCCATGATTTTTATATGCGAGGTACTGACCATATATATGATCCTTATGAGTTTTCTTCTTATGTGTAAAGGAGAGTACAAAATATGAAATATACCCTGCTAAAGATAAATTTCTTCATAGTACATGCACGAAGTATCAGTCTATTGCAGGGCATGGTCAGTGATTAGAATGTTCCTTGATTTAATAGAGTACAGTCTTGTATTTAAAAATTTGCAATCCATTCCTTTCTTATTTTATTTTTCATCTGACAAATCCTATGTAGTGTAGCTTACTATTCTGTTTTGTTATCTTTTCTATGTGATTTGAAATCAGTCAGTGAATTTGCTCATATTGTTCCATAATATAATTTACTTCATCACTTAGTGTAAAATAAACAGAGGCCTGTTCCTTCTCTTGAGCTGCCTTTGAAAATAACTGCATTTGGAACTTTCACTTTGATTATCAAAAAGTCAGTGTAGAAGATAATTACGGAGAAAAAAGAAATTAAAACATGTTAATATAAATAAAAAAAATCTTCCTGATTACAGGTAGGTCACAATTTAGTGCAAATTGTAAATTGATACCAAGTTACATTTAATACAACCCCAAATTTAATTAATGCAAGGTTAACATATACATATTTGATGTTAGCATATATGCATCTATGATTAAGATTTTAGACACTGCTAATCTTCATACAAAATGGAACAAAGGAAGATTCTATCAGAGGAAAACTGCAAGTTTGAAAAAAAGAGGTTCATTATTACATTAGAGCAAAATTTTGATATATTGAACAATATGAATATGTTCATAGCAGTACTAAAATTGGATGAGATGTTTGAATGGCTGGATTTGTGGCAGAATTTTTTACTTTCATTTTACTTTCTATAACTATTCTATGAATCATAAATTGAAATCATAAATATATTTTTATCCATTATTGCAATATTTAGTTAGGTTTAAAAATTTTCACTTTAAATAGTAAGAAATTGAATAATGGTACCATTTTGTGGGATTCTTTAATCACACTGATTGAGATCTACTGTACCTGTAAAGGAAAAGTGGGGAACAGAATTTACAATAGGAGCCAATATGAAAGAAGACAACACTATTGGTTCAAGTATGAGTAACAAGTAAATAAATGGTTGTCTATTAGGACTCCTAGATCCCTCTCAGTTACTATTGTTAAGCCAAGTGCCACCTATTCTATACCTGTACATTTGGTTTTTCCTAACTAAGTGCAGGACCTTAGTTTCTCACCACTGAACTGCATTTTGTTGGATAGGGCCCAATGCTCAAGTCTGCCAAGACTCTTTTGAATCTTGAGCCTAGCTTCCAAATTCCTCCCAGCTTGGTGTCATCTGCAGATTTGATGAACTCCCCTTCTATCCCTCTCACATAGATCATTTATGAGGATGTTGGAGAGTTCTGGCCCTAAAACAGAACCTTGGGATACCCCACTGCATGCTTCCTCGATGTAGATATAGTTCCATTGAGGACAATATGCTGAGTGTGGTTTGTCAGCCAAGTGCAAATCCATCTGGTGATTTAAATTAGTCAAATTAGTTGTTGGTTTCAAATTCTGATTCACATTACTGGAAATGATAGAACATCTAGGATTAGATAATGTCCTATTCTTTAGACAGATATACTTAATAAGGTCAAAAATTGAGGACAATTGTTCCTATTAACCAACCAGTGTGAATTGGCATAACACACACACACATTCACTGGCTGCTTCACAAAAGTAAAAATGCAGTTTATTTCAATTTTGTTTTGCATGTTAGGTGAACCTATGTATTGTGGCTTATTGTTCACCATGATGAAATGAACCGTGGCTTAGCAAATGTGTGAGCAATGGTTGCTGTCACCTATTCTGTAACCATGAAATCTGCATCTTTCTGGAAAAAGCAGAGCTCATTGAGCAGAAATAAGTGAACTGAGTCACAGAATAATTCTGGAGATGCACTAGGAAAAGGTCAGTTCTGCTTGATCATTGTAGGGTAACTTATTAGACAAAGAAGATAGAATCTTCAAATTGTAACTCCTTCTCCACAAACAGAAAATAATTGTCCAGTGAGGGTGGAATCTGCTCAAGGCAACCAAATTTAGTAATTTCCAAAGCACCTTGGTCCAAAACAAAAATATCCCCAAAGCACATGAACCAAATTAAGAAGCATTGATTTGAAGCATTTTTCAGTATTTGTTTTACTAAATGGAAAACCTATGAACACTGAAATAATGACAATTTTCCTTTGTTTTTATTGTTGTTTATTAAAAGTGTTTTTGTTAAAGGAACTTTTATGATTACCATCCATACTTATGATAGTATAATCCATAGTTAAACTGTACAAAGAAGTATTTTTAATTTCTATGTCTTGCCTCCAAGTCCAGTTCCCTAATTTTGTAGCGCATCCCACGTTAAAGTAACCATAACCAAGTTCTCAATTACTTAAATAATTTTCATTTACTAAATGATAAATAACAAATCCATTTTATTTTTATTTATATTTATTTTCTTATATAAGCATAAAACTCTTGCTAAGAATTTACATCAACATTTGTTGGCTTAGATACCCATACAATACTTAACTGCATACTTCAAGTGTGATAAGAGATTGTTCCTGGTTCTGTAATAAACCTGGATAATTTTGTTTAGTATGTTTTTCCATTCTATGCACAAGTTTATAAAACTATTTTACACCCTCATACTCTTTTAATACAGTAGAGCAGTCCACCTAACCTGTCATCATTTTGTGGTCCTTTTGGTATGTTCATTGAGTAGTTGGTTCAGTGTTGCTTTTCCTTTTGTTTTGAAAGTTTCATCAGCCTCCGTTCCTTTCAAACGTTAGACTTCTTAGAATTCAGATTTTTTTTCTGTATCTTCCTTGGCAACCCTTTCCTCTTTTCATCACTTATGGCCTTTGTGAATTGTAGATGTTCATTCACTAAGTTTTTTACTAGACGGCATGATTTCTCTTCCACTTTTGTCCTAACTGGAACTATCTGGCATTATGCTTTAAGTAACTTCAGCATCTTTGACTGGCAACTAATCAGAGATAAACCTATTTGTCTCAGCCTTGCCTGACTCTCTGGAGAGACTAGCTGTTCCTTGGTAAATGCATCAGGAAGCACTCAGTCAAATAAAGCTTTTTGTGGAAGGGATAACATATCGACACCAACTTTGTTGTCAAAATGATATCCATCCCTTTATGAAGTTTTTAAAAAGCCTTTTTACCCCCACTTCATTCTTGGCCATATTAGTGCCCAGTGACCTAATTTGGGGATTTCCCCAAAGAGTCCCTTGCAATCCATTTTATCAATGAAATTTATATCTTAATATAACCAGCTTACTAGATATGTTTTCTACTACAATTACTGAAAAAGAAAACAACACTAGTTGTAATCTGTATAGTTTATAAATTTTTGCTGCAGTTCCTAAAGTATAAGCCAAGACTTTCATTGTTGGAGAAATCCATCAGATTTCTTTCAAGTCCAGCGAAACCAGAAACATAATTCAGAGAATCCACCACAATCTGCATCAAGATATTTCTCAGTTCAAAAACTTTACAAAATATGCAAAGTTAAGGAAAGTTTAAGACAAAAACATTTAATCCAAAATATTTTGGATGGTAATGTAGCATATAACCAATGAACTTTGGAAAAGTTGCAAAATGATCTGGAACTTTGATGGAACAAACTTAAGGAATATATGTAATACTGGATACAATAGTAACATCTGTCTAAAAATGTCTAGACATCCCATTAAGAAAGCACAAAGGTTTGGCCACTGAACTTTATGTGACTTTATTTGTTAACTAATGAAATGCATGACTGTTTTCAAACTAAACTTGCCTATAGAAAAAAGAATGTCAAATCAGAGAAATGCAGTTTATTTTCAGCTGAAAGCAACATGCTAGAAATGTTTTAAAATGTCTATGTGTATATGTGGAATATAACAATAAAACTCCTTTCCTTAGTCATATCATGCTTTGCTTTTTTTGTATAGGAAGCCAGTTAATCATGCAAAATTTTGTTCAGTGTAATTGCATTAACAATCTAATATATACATGCTGCTTCAAACCAGGAATTATGCTTTCTACAGCTTATATTCAAAGCCAGTTAAATGTTACCTTTTAGATATTGATCATTTGGAAAAGACTCAAGGTAGATGCAAAGATCCACCATGCAGTGGCCTTAGAAAACAATCTTCTTTGACTCTCTGAGGGACAGGAAAGGAAAAAGGAAACAGCATGGAACAAGGGCTGCTTCTGCCAAGAGACTGGTCTGTTGAAGCTTGTCCCCCTAATTTCTCAATACAGCACATTCAGGGAGAGCTTACAGGTTGAAAATCAGAACTGGTACCATTTTTTGTCCTTGTATTTGATCATTACCTGAAAGAATAGACATAACAATATTCAAGTGACACGGAGATATGAATGTTTTCCTTTCATCCTAACATTCTGCAATATGAACCCTAAACTCCAACTTCCAGAGACTGCCTATCTGTTTGGGTGCTTGTAGACTGTATGCTGGAGCATATCTTTGAATATATGGAGAACTGATGTAACATGTCTTGATCAGGACCAGAACTTCTGCTGCTATTAGAGCCATAAAGGAACTGGGGGTTGCTAATATTTAACGAAAGACATGTTTACTACAAATTGAGGCTTAAAGCACCACTATATTCTTCATTGAACCTCGCCAAACATTTAGCCAGTTTCTGTTTGGGGAGGTATTAAGGAGTGAAAGCAATTGTTTGTATTACTTCTTCCAAAGATTCATACATCTTCCCAAGTGATTCTGAATGTCTGAGTTTGCAGAGAAACCTAGAAGGGTGATTGATGATTCCTATGAGATACAATGGGTGAGGCTGCATGGATTAGTGGCGGGCAGCGCATCAGCCAACTCCCAATCAGTGTTTTAAAATGTATGATTAAAACAGGCAACACAGAGGTTCTGGCACCCTGGAAATTCAGCAGAAAGCTTGAAGGGAAGATTAGTAGTAGCCAGGCTAGCCAACTGAAAGAACTGGATTCAATCCTGTAAACTACTTTGAAAAGTATAATGCAGTTGAAACAGTTTCTATCCCAGCTTGTCAATCATGCATTTATTACAATTCCTCTTTCTTAATTATCTTTGTTCACCACAATCACTGTTGCTGGAATAAAAAAAAGAACAAATGCACTAAATATGGCCCAAAATAGGTAAGGAGGTCTCAAACAAATCTGATTTACATGTCATCTGCCTAATGGAGTGAATAAATCAGTTCAAGAGTATCCCTCATCTCAAAGGCAAGAAATGCTTCTCCGGGATCAACACTCACCTCATGTGCATGTTTGGAAAATGCCTCTGCACTTGACATCATTCTTGCTGTCTTTTCATCTAGTTCCCCAAGTTTTTGTCCCCTTTCATCAAGAGCAAGACGTGCACGAGCCAGATCTCCAAGAGCACCTCCTGCAGCTCCTTTCATACCCTCAATCGATCCAGGAATATGTTGAGCAAGAGTACGAGATGCTTTTCCTGATGTTGCTTCGCCAACTGGAAATGGAACAGAATTAAAAGTATTTTATTGTGTTTCCTGAAACTTCCTGCCTATGTCTACGCCAACAGATGAAGTAGATTATAGAAAGAATTCTCACTCAGATCACAGAATCACAGAATTATTGAATCACAGATATGGGAGAAGTACTTTAGGCCATCATGAATCCAAAATAAAACATTCCCGACAGATGGCTGTCTAAATTCCATTTGAATGTATCCCTTCAAACGGAGTTCATCACTTCCTTTGTTAATTAGTTACACTTGAGATTTGGATGGTTTTTCCCCTAACATAATTTAGAACCTGCCTTCCCAGGATGTAGGTAACAAATTTCTACTTCCATTTGGCATGCCTTCAAATAATTCAAAATTGTATATTTTGGTAGGATGGGGTGTTTAGTCCCTTGTTCATTTCTGTTCATATTTGAATCTGTTTCAGTTTATATGACTATTTGTTAAAGCATGATGTCCATAACTGGCCACTGTACTTGCAATAAGGTGTGACCAAGTAGAATAACATGACATTATGGCTCACAATTACTTGAAAACTATACTTCTCTTAAATACAGACTAAAATTGCATTTTCCTTTTGGTAGCTATGCCACATACTGCTGAGTCATAATCAACATTTTTCCAATTCTATATTGATTTGTTTTTCTGTCTCCTATGTGATTTTTCACTGTTAAATGTAATTCTGTTATCTTCACCCATTTCACTATTAATTTTGAGATATTTGATATTTGAGGGATCACATCTCCCAATTACATCTACCAATCTCACTAGATCCAATCATGTTGTGGATCACTTCAGCTAGGGAACTTTATTTGGTGGGTCTCTGCAGTGGCCCATGCTTTATTTAACATTCTTTTCTCAAAGTGAAGCTGGCATCATTTTTTTTTATCTTTCAGGAGATCCCTTAAGATCTGGTTATCTTAGCAGACTTCCAGATCCCAGGGGACTGATGAAATACTGTGCTATTGTGCTATTAACACCCACTGTTTGCCCAATATTATTTTCTTTTAGTTTTGTGCATTGATTTCTTTTGATGTCTTCCTTTTTTATTTCCTCATTGGAATTGTTTGCAATGTTTTTTCAATAACTTCTTTTAAGAATCCCACCAATTTTGGGCTATTGTATAAAGAATAAACTATACAAAATAAGTACTAATTATTGAGATACTTTGGGAATAACTGCAAAAGGACTTCTTTGTGTTGTCACTAAAATCTTGGCTACCATGGGAAAACATTTCCATTCTCAGAAAATATATTATTTTGAATGAGATAACCCACTTCAATAGAGTTTTATTCTGCAAAACAATATTCCCCAATATAGAGCACTCTAGATATTCAGGTCATTTGAGAATTTTAGTAGGTATGCTTCTTGAATCACTGGCTCTTCCCAGATGGTGGAAGAAAACCATCATACAGTAATCTTTCTGCTTCCCAATTTCAATTTTAGGGGAAACTGTTCATGATGAAAATAGGGACAATAGAGGGAGAAAAACGTGTGTTGTGCACCTATCAGATCATTTTGTAATCAAGAAACCCAAGTATATGCAATTAATACTATATTGCAGTAAGTTAAGGTTACAACATACAACAACCCCCCAACCTCAGTAGAATAAAAAGCAAACATACCCATATTGTCCATGAAATAAATCCCAGAGTCTAGCAATACCTTTATTTTGTCCCAAAATGGCACAGAAGAATGTGCAAACTTTCAAGTTCTCAAGAACTCTTCATCAGGCAACATGTAACAAAAAGCAGGGAATGGAGAAGCAAGAAAGTCCAAAAATTAGGCTAGATGTTTCAGCCATGAGGTCTGAAGTCAGTCTTAAGATGAATGAAATATATTGAATGCAATAGAAAGTTGTAGGCATTATTGATGTCAGACAATGAGACTTTAGTAAGTTCATGCAAGTAACTGATGACTTTTGACTCCTCAGATTAACCTTATATTAGTACAATAAGATACTAGTTGCATATATCTGGGTCCCTCTTTTTTTTCTTTTTGTAGGAATAATTGGATGAGATATTTACACAATGTATTTTTTTTATCTTTGGATACATAATAGGCATTCAGTATCTCCATCGTAGCATTTAGCACACAGATACATAGCAACTTTCTAGAACGTTTAAATTTTGGTGTTAAATGTATAATTTAAATTATCCATTTGAACAACATTTGCAACATTGTTCAAATATTAGTTTTGAACAACCATTTCAGAAAGGCCAGTGTTATACTATCACAATTTTATTCTATTTATTTTCATTTTCTATATTTTACTTTGATTCCTATTTTTTTGTGATACATTTTATGGGGAAAAACACTTACACAGGTCTTCTCGGTCAAGTGTTCCACCAGTTCCACCAAATAGCCCCTTCAGAAAACCTCTGTATTGGGCCTCTGGGGTGTCCATGGGAATGAACAAATCACCAAGCATGTCCTGTTCAAACAACAGCACAAAAAACAACCCATTTCAAGTCTTTTCAGCCAAACTTCACAAGAGAAGCTCCTGAATGTTTATTAAGCTGTATGTAGGATATACCAACAGATGAATTTTAAATGTTAAACTCATCTGCTGGTTGCCAGAAGCCAGATGAAAAATTCATCTCTGAATAATCAATAATCTTCCCAACAATGAGAAGAATTCTGATATATCACACAAAAGTCTCTCTTAGTCAGAAAAGTCCATTCCTAGAATTAGTAGATGTTTTCTTATGCTGTGGGATACAATATACATAGTTGAACCCTCAAGCAATGTAAAGGGAACTCTGTCCCTGACTTTTCAATCTTTCTCATGGCCATCTCATTTTTTGGTTTCACCTTTAGTAGCCAATGTGACTATGTTGAACCCTCCTAGCGTGTATGGAAATAAAGCTTTACACCTCATGACACATCATGGTTAACATTCAGGGTACATCTAGAATGCATGCAACAGCACATCCCTATACCCTTATAGTAAGATATTGCCAGTGATGTACTGTTAAAATGTTCCAAAAAATGGCTCTGCCAAATCCATTGCAGCCACTAATTGTAGAACAGCTAATTGGCATGCTAGGTGTTAAGGCTCACCTTTAGGTTGTGGCCAGTCTGACACCTTTGCGGTCAACTGGTGCACAAAATTCCAGAGAATTTAACAACTGCTTTTATAAGTTGGTGTGAGCCAACTCCAGCACATCACTGGATATTGCCAACCATAATGACTCTTGTCCTCACCCCATGCATCTTTCTACCATTGCTATAGGAACATCAGTACACAATGTTCATTTTCAAAAGGTAGTGGTGCTATAAGCTTTTTTCCCACTACAAAAGTAATAACCTAGCTAGCCTCTCACAAGAATGCTAAGAAGACTAAATGAGCAGAAAAGCACTGCAGCAGTCCTGAACATCAGGAAAAGGAAACGGATCATCTATACCAAGCATGTCCAATCCATATACTACATGCAGCCTTGGACAACTAGTAATGCAGCCCCACAAGATTGTAATAAAAAATATTAAAAAACAAAGGAAGTTTGTTCTTTATATACATTAACAATATTATATGTTTTATATGCAGCCCAAGATAATTCCCCTTCATTCAGTGTGGCCCAGGTAAGTCAAAAGATTGGTCACACTTCATCTACACATTTTCCAACAAAATAAACACCCACCCAATTTTATCAAAAAATGCCTCACCACTCAATACACTACAGGACAATCAGCACAAGTTGTGAAAAAGGATAACATTGCCATACATCAAAAACAGCTCAGAAATAACTAATAGACTATTATAACTACATGGCATCATCCTAGCACACCTAAAGCCCTCCAAAACACCCTAAGTAAAACGAAAGACCCAGTAGCCTCAGAAATAAAAACAGGAATCATCTACAGCATAGAGTGTAAGAACTGTAACAGCCGCTATATAGGATAGAAGACTAGCCAAGTGTATTTGTAAACCCCAACTAGTGGTCAGAAGACTCCTTAATTACCGTACACAATACATGGAGAGACATCACTATACTTTCAATTGGGTACTCATGAGAATTCTAGACCAAGTGAAGTCCAAAAATGCTAGAGGATTCCTGGAAGCATGGCACTTAGACAAACCAGCCAGAGATAAATACATCTATATACCGTTCAAAAGAGAATCAAAAAACTAAAAAGGAAACAAAAAGATCAAAACACCTCTTTACCAGCGACCAACAACCAGATAAACAGAGATTAACATCAAGATTAATACTAGACCAACAATCAAGCATACCAGTCGGGCTTCAGGCCGGGGCACAGCACGGAAACGGCATTGGTCGCGTTGGTTAATGATCTCTGGAGGGCCCGGGACAGAGGGTATTCCACTGTCCTTGTTCTTTTGGACCTCTCAGCGGCTTTTGATACTGTAGACCACGGTATCATGCTGCGGCGTCTCGGTGGGTTAGGAGTGGGAGGCACCGTTATGCG